GCAAGTGAGAAGACATTTTTTAAAGATTTTTTTATTAGCATACGTTAGTATGTAGAGTGGGCTAAAGAGGGCTCATTGTGACATTTCCATATATGTGTGCAATATACACCGATCAGTCTCACCCCAAGATCATCCTCTGCTTCCTGCCAGATCCTGCTAAAACAATCTCAACAGATTTTATTGTTCTATTTGCATATATGCAAATATGCTACTTGCACCCTATTTGCCCTTATTCAACCTCTTCTTTCACCTCTCCACTCGTGATAGTACGTGTGCCCAACAGAGCCTGTTTGATTTTCCTGACATTAATTTTGCTTAGTGTGCATTAATTATACCAAGAAGTTTTGCCATTTTTAGTGCGCATTAATTGTACCAAGGAGTTTCACCACAATATTTCAGATGTGTATGTATTATATTTTAATCAGCATAACTCTATATAGTTTTCTCTTTACCATCCTCACTATCAACCTGTTGATCAACAGTTTTCATTAAGATTCCTTATGTCATCTTTACACACAATCATAATGTATTTGAAAATTATGCATCCTTCATTTTTTTCTTCTTCCCCTTCTTTCTCAACTCCTAAATAATCTTATACTTAAATCATGTTGTATTTATTCATTTATCTATCTATCCATCTACTATCTTATCTGTTTATATATATATATATATATATATATATATCCACAGCAATATCTACTATCTATCTATTAGGTATATATCTACAGCAATATATGTATATATACATACATATAGACATATATATGTATATATGCCTACATAGTCTCCATGGCTTCCCTCATGTCTTCCTTCCCTCATGTCAGCTGATCTGAAAAAGTCATCAAATAAAAAAGCAGATGTGGCTCAGAGTGAAGGTTTGATGCCACTTACTAATTTAGGGGACTCTACCCAGGCCCAGACTAGAGAAATAGGAGTGGCTTCAGAGTCACCTGACTGACCACTGACACTGGGAAATGGAGTTTGGGATTCTTTTCCAAGCAGAAGACAGGGAATTAGAGAAAAACGGGCTCCAGATATTGGCAGAGATTGAGATGAAGATGCGGGACTGACTCTGGAATGCAAAGATTGAATGAGTTGCTGGAAGGAAGTGTTATGTGATCAGCAAATGACAATGCTACAGTGAGTTGTTGTATTGACATACTTGGGGAACACTTGGGGCATACTGCCTCAAAAAAAAGAAGTGAAGGACCTCTATGATGAAAACTTTAAAAACCTGAAAAAGGAAATTAAAGCAGAACTAAGGAAGTAGAAAAACTTCCCATGCTCCTGGATAGAGAGGATTAACATCATGAAAATGGCAATACTGCCAAAGGCTATCTACAAATTCAATGCAATACCCATCAATATCCCAACCTCATTCTTCAACGAAATAGAAGAAGCAATCTAAAAATTCATATGGAACAATAAAAGACCCAGAATGGGGGGGGGCTGGGAAGGTGGCTCAGTGGTAGAGCGCTTGCCTTGCATGCATGAGGCCCTGGGTTCGATTCCTCAGCACCACATAAGCAAAAAGAAAAAAGCCAGAAGTGGTGCTGTGGCTCAAGTGGTAGAGCACTAGCCTTTAGCTGAAGAGCTGAGGGACAGCACCCAGGCTCAGAGTTCAGGCCCCACGACCGGACCCCCCCCCCAAAAAAAAAAAAGAATGGAAGAAAGACAGTCTCTTCAGTAAATGATGCTGGAAAAATTGGTTAAACACTTGGAGAAAACTAAAGTTAGATCCTCATATATCACCCTGCACCAGAATCAACTTCAAGTGGATCAAAGACCTCAAAGTAAAAGTAGATACTCTGGAAACATTACAGGAAGGAATAGGAAAAACTCTAGGGCTCCTTGGCACAGGCCCTAATTTTCTTAAAGATCCAGAAACACAACAAATCAAAGAAAGGTTGGACAAATGGGATTTCATGAAACTGCAGAGCTTTTGCATGTCAAAGGATAGAGCTAGTAAGATCAATAGAAAGCTCACAGACTGGGAGAAGATCTTCACTAGATAGACAACAAAGGCCTCATATCTAAAATATACTTCCAACTCAAATAATTAAATCATCCTAAAACAAATCCTCAAAGAAATAACTGCCCCATCAATAAGTGGGCTAAAAAATTTAAGTGAGACTTCTCTGAATAGGAAATAAGAATGGCCAGTAGACACATAAAGAAATGCTCAACTTCTCTGGCCATAAAAGAAACGCAAATCAAAACAACATTGAGATTCTACTTCACCTCAGTTAGAATGGCTATTATCAAAAAAATCTAATAATGACAGAAGCTGGATGGGATGTGGCCAAAAGGGAACCCTACTGCATTGTTGGTGGGAGTGCAAACTTGTTCAACCACACTGAAAAGCAGTATGGAGGTTTCTCAAAAGACTCCACATAGAGCTCCCCTATGACCTAGAAATCCCACTTCTGGGTATTTACCCAAATGATCACAAACAAGGCCATATTAAAGGTATCAGCACAACTATGTTTATCACAGCATTATTCACCATAGCTAAGATATGGAACCAACATAGATGCCCCTCAGTAGATAAGAGGGTCAAGAAAATGTGAGGTATATATCTCTATCTCTATCTCTATCTATATAATGGAATTCTATGCTTCCATCAGAAAGAACGACATTTGTTAGGAAATGGAAAGACTCGGAAAAAATCACATTAATATAATAATCCAGTCCCCCCAAATTTGGGTCCCATGGTTTTCCTTATTTACAATAATTAGTATACATATAGGATAATCTTATCAGGTGAGCTGAAAAACTCAAAAGCCATGTACATATGACCCTATAAGATGATGCTAAATGAAATGAATCCCGAGATATGGACACAAGAGGTCTGTTTTTTTTATTGTTATTGTTTTAAATGTACCATGTGATTTTATTCTATTTTTTTGTTGTTTCCTTTGTATATTTTCCCCCTATGGCATATCCCCTGTTGTCACTGTACTTGATTTTGGTTCCCTGCATCTTGTATATATATTTGTCTAATCTGGGAGGGGAAGGGGAATGACAAAATGCTGAAACGCTGACACAGGATGACCTATTGCAACAAGGATACTCACAGCACAGAAAATCGGAAATGAACTGTACAACTTCGGGTGGGAGGGGGGGGGTAGGGGAGGAGGAGTGGGGGGGGTGGAGGAGGGAAGGGTTAGTAGGACATCAACAAGGGAAGGGGTAACATTGATTGACAAGTAATGTGCTCATTGCCTTACTCATGTAACTCTAGCCCCTCTGTACAACATCTTCAATACAATACAATACAATAAATTCTAACATCTATTGTCCTTGAGCCCTAGCAAGACTTATGTGGGCACTGATATGTAAGTTGTGCTTCATCCCTACTATCAATCAAGTCAAGAGCATCTCCCTTTCTATCCTATCTGTAACAGAGGCAGATAATAGACTACAAGTTCATGCCCACATCCCAAATAGTGATGCTGTGACAGTTCTCTGGGCATTTGATCTTCAGATAATAGTAAGATTCACCAGCTCATACTCTTAACATAATCCTTTTATGAGCAAGGATGTGAAATAGAAAAGCTAATAAAAATGATTTCTCATCTAATGTGTTCTGTCATGGAATACTATGTAACCATAAAGAAAACTGAAATCATGTCATTTATTTATTTTTTTTAAAAAGAATGGAACTGGAGATCCATCATGTTGCGAGAGATAAGACAATCTGAAAAGGTCAAATTTTGCATATTTCCCTCATGTGTGGAAACAGGACCAGAAGAATATGCATTGTCTATGGTCATACCACAGGGGAACCTAGTACTTACTCTAAGATGGGGTTTCTTCTAGGATGGGGGCTCTCGCTTTTTCTTATTTTTTTTTAATTTAATTTAATTTTATTTGTGAACATACTGTACAGAGGGGTTACAATTACATGGGCAGGATAATGCGTACATTTCTTACCAAGCATTGCAGCCTCCTCCTTTGGCTTTTTCTTAGTTTTTTTAATACTTTTTTATTGTGAAAATACTGTACAGAGGGGTTACAATTACATGAGCAAGGTAATGAGTACATATATAGCTTATCAGGCATTGTTGCCTCCTCCTTTGTTTTCCCCCTACTATCCCTTCCCTCCCATCTCCACAACTACACTCCCCCCACCCACCTAAATTGTAAAGTTCATCTTGCCCATTGCAACAATGAGATGTACAAGATGCTATGTTGATAAACGAAATTTCTTAGTTATTTTTGAGGCCCCATTCCAGGTTAGGAGAGGCGTATTTCTGGAATCCAGTGTCATGATTAAAGGAAAACATCCCATGTGTAACCTCCTTGCTCAGCCTCTGACCTGGAGCCTCCTCTGGGCTTTCAACCAACTGATTCTGTTCAGATACTGCCACAGTGTTCCAGTGCCCTCCCACTGGACAGAGAGAGCCACACACCCCCTTCCCTACCTCTCTGGAACAGAATACCACAAGGGCATGGGCCTCACGCCCAGAAGCTGCTGGTCTAGGTCTTCGTTCCCTCTGCTCTGATCTGCTACAGTTAACGTGGCCATGTCCTGGTGGCTCACACTTACAATCCTAGCTACGCAGGAGGCTGAAATATGAGGATCATGTTTCATGTTTCAAAGCCAACCTGGACAGAAGTCCCTATTAGACTCTTATCTCTAATTCACAACTCAAAAACCAGAAGTGGAGCTGTGGCTCAAAGTGGTAGAGCAAAAATGCTCAGGGACAGTGCCCAGGCCCTGAGTTCTAACCCCACAACCAACAAAAGAAACAACAACAAAAAAAAAGGGTGGGAACATTTTATTCAAATGTATTTTTTTCTAATCTTTGAGTCTTTTAATCTTTTCAGGAGAAAACATATATTACTTCAAATAGTTATTTGGAAGTGAATATTTTCAAGGTCTCTGTGTTATGTAATATTTTCATCAGTGTTGGCCACCCATACCTTGAGATTGAAGACAGTTTTATTCTGTAAGCTCTTTCTCTCTCTCTTTTTTTTTTTTTTTCTATTTTAAGGTGTTACACAACGGCCTCATTATGGAAATGGAGCATCCAACTGTGGGGAAGATTTCAGTCCCAGGTTTGAAAATCATTTTTATTTTCATTGACACTTTCTATCATTAATTGTCCCATGTGTTGTCTACTATAAATAGCTGATGAGTCCCTGGATAACTCATTAACACATTACCCAAATATAATTTTGGCTAAAAGGGGAATCCTCATGAATGTATACCAAAGGCCAGTGCCAGTGGCTCATACCTGTAATCCTGGCTACTCAGGAGACTGATATCTGAGGATTGCAGTTCAAAGCCATCCTGAGAATAAAAGTCAGAGAGAGTCCATCTCCAATTAATCAGCAAAAAAGCCAGACTGGAGGTGTGGCTCAAGTGGTAGAGAACCCACCATTAGCTATAAAGAATGCATGCTGGGACTGCAGGATATGTCTTACTTCTAAAGAATGTTTCATTACCTCAGTGACAATAACGTTTGTGGTCTTCACTGCATTTAATGCTAGACAGGTTCTCTATCCTTTGAGCTATGACTCCAGTCCTTTGAGCTCTAGTCATTTTTTTCTTTTTGAGATATGGTCTCACTTTATCCCCAGCAGAGCCTGAACCAAACCCCTCTACTTAAGATTCTCTCATAGCTGGAGTGACAGGAATTTACCACCACGCCCAAGTTTTTTGTTGAGAGATTCAGTCTTGCTAACTTTATTTATTTACTTATTCATTGCCTCGGCTGGCCTCAAATTGCAATCCTCCTTCTCGCCGCTTCCCAAGTAACTCCTATTGCAGGCATGGGAGCTTTGCAGAGCAGCGGAAATTCTTAGGCCTTGTGTAGAGCGCACCCTTTAGAAATGTTTAAATCCACAGAGCATTCCTTCAGATCAAAACTCCTGTATCAGAGTTACTTATTAACACCTTCCTGATTAAGGTAGCTTGAAGAGGCTGGAAAATGATTTGCCTTTCCAAAATCCTTTGGCCACTCAAATAATTATTTTAACGACTTACCCCATGATGTGACTATTTCTGACCATCATCAATATTAAAATACAGACAGCAGTATGATCTAAATGACCTTTTGTATTACTTATGATAGACAACTCCCCTTTCTTGTCACTTCCTGCCTCCTTTATCCATAAAGGATTTTTTAAAGTGTCATTTGTGGGTCTGTAGATGCCATACATAGATAAAGTACACAATCTGGTGAAGAGTCACCAGTTATCTCTAAACATGAGTTAACAGTTAACGCAAATATTCTTCTTAAGCTCGTATATTGTTCATCAAACTACTCTTTAATTCAAGCTTCCACAGCTACCAGGCAGTTGCAGGTATCAATGGGAATGTAAATGAGAACCCATGTGGTACCTCTATGCAAAGCTAGGGATTCTGATGTTTTTAGTAGAGACCCTAGTGAGGGAAGAGCTCACTGTTAGTTTAGTGTTACGTTCATCTACCTCTGGTGGCATAATGTAATAATTGCTCATAATTAACTAATACAATTGGGTTGAATGTTTAAACCTCATATATTTACCTTCTACCCTCAACTAAACCAACCAGCCAATAATCTGTATACTACATAAGGATGGATGAGCTCAGTCCTCCACAGCTTTGCAGCACAGATAAACGGGACCCATGAAAGGCGTGTGTGTGTGTGTGTGTGTGTGTGTGTGTGTGTGTGTGTGTGTGTGTGTGTGTGTGTGTGCGCACGCACCTGTTTTCATAGAGAACCATGGGCTACCATGGGCTATGACAGAATGCTCTGGAAACACTGGAATGGAGAAAGTAGGAGGGATGGGACCACAGTAACACTGGAGGACAGGCCAGATGGACACAATCTGAAATTGAGCCAAAAACCAAGTAAGAAAAAAAATCAGTGGTTAGATGCTGGTAGCTTACGTATGTAATCCTAGCTTACTCAGGAGGCTGGGATCTGAGGATCACTGTTCAAAGCCATCCTAGGTAAGAAAGCTTTTGAGACTCTTTTTTTTTGTTGTTGTTGTTGATTGTGGGGCTTGAGCTCAGGGCCTGGGTGCTGGCCTTGAGCTTTTTCACTCAAGCGGAGCACTCTACCACTTTGAGCCACAGCTCTACTTTCAATTTCCTGGGTGTTAATAGGAGATAAGAGTCTGATGGACTTTCCTGCTGGGGCTGGCACAAAAACTCCTGAGTTTCAGCTAAACTCAATAAAGGATAGTTAAAGGACATTCCTAAACTTCTAAAGGACAAAAGTGTGATCAAGTAATACCAGCACCTTCTGAGCCGACTTAAGATGATGACTAATATAAAAAAGTATGAGAAGCCAGGCGCCAGTGGCTCACGCCTGTAATCCTAGCTACTCAGGAGGCTGAGATCTGAGGATCACGGTTCAAAGCCAGCCCGGGCAGGAAAGTCTGTGAGACTCTTATCTCCAATAAAATACTAGAAAATTGGAAGTGGCGCTATGCTCAAGTGGTAGGGCGCTCGCCTTGCATACATGAGGTCCTGGGTTCAATTCCTCACCATCACATAAGCAGAAAAAGCCAGAAGTGGCCCTGTGGCCAAACAATTCCTAGGCCCTGAATTCAGTGGTTTGTGACAATGTATCCACTTTTATGAACAGATCCATGGAAATTACCAGAAAATGATTTATTTTACTTGTTTCCTTTGTTTACAGTTTAAGCCTATACAAGAAATGGTGTGGGGGCTGGGGGTTGGCACCTGGTTTCTGGCATCATGACAAATCTTCATACTTTTTTAACTTGCCCTGTTCCTTTTTTTTTTTCTTCCCTTGAGTTAGAGAAATTAGATGTTTCTGAAATCACATACTCTCCAAGTACAGTTAAATTTCTATAATGGACAGCAGCCATGGAGAAAGCTGTCACAGATCTCACTGGGGGAAGGAGGGAAGAAAAATTTAGAATGACCAAAGTTTCAGCTGGGATCTGAAAGTTCAAGTTTGCTAGAATGCGAAGTAAAACCAACTGGAAACTAAAAGGTGAAGGAAGTGATTTCTGCCTTCGAGAAAGACCTTACAGAGGGCAACAGGAAAAGCGTGTAAAGTTTTCACGTTGTGGGTGCGACGCCATCGATCTTCTAGAAAGAGCATAGCCCTGCTGGGATCAGTTAAAGCTGCGGAAAAGAAGAAGGAGATGAAAGGAAGGGACCGGAGTCTGTCAACAGAGTGAGAGATGCTGGCAGGGAGGTGAACTTTCAAACACACTAGTTGGGGTGCTTTCCTGAATCTTTCATCATCATGATTATTGTTCATTAATTAATTAATTTTTACCAGGATGAACCCTAAGCAATAGCAAGATAAGCAATGAATGTGAAAGGAATCGGCACGTGCGATCTCTGGTGATGGACAGTAAGGGCTGTAGCCTTCCCTGGCCGGTCCAGGACCCTTCCACCACTGTTCCCATTCAGTGGGGGAAGACTTGCACTGCCACACAGAGCGGTGTGCGTTCCGCCTCTGGGAATATCTTCCGTCCACACCAGTGCAGCCAAGTTACTGTCACTGTCTTGGCTTAGGGATTTCCCTCAGCTGTGCTTATCTGGGGCTTGAGGAAGGGAATATTTTGTGAGACCTGGGCTTTCACGCTCAGGGAATTCATGTGCTGTTAGTTGGGGCCAGGAAAGCTGCCAAGATGTCAGATGTTCCTCTGCAACGTGTCACCCAGCAGATCTTAATGGGTTCCTGATCATTAGTGAATTTGTCTAACAGACAAGGTACCTTCATGCGGACCAGCCCTGAGTTATCGACCGGATTCCTGGGGTGTGGACTAAGTGTCCAGTGAGAACAATTGATGCATATACTACCCAGTTGTCCTGGATAAACCTTGAACTAGAGGAGTTCACAGTATTTTCACCTATCAGTGTAAGGACTGAGCCCTGAGCAGGTTTGCAAGCAGTTTGAAGTAATCTAACTGGATCATTGAATGCCAAACCACATATACAAATCAAAACAAAAGCAAATAAAAAGAACCAGGAAAAGTGGATGCCTCTGTGATAGCAAAATATTTCTTTTTTGTTTGTTTTCGTTATCTGGATAGGTGGAGAGGGAATTTCCTGGGGTTTGTGTTTAAATCCTTGTTATGTAAACGGCAGCCATTTTTCACTGGTTACCCAGAGAAATCTTACTATTATTTTTTTTTCCTTCCTCAGAGTTATGCACTGAATTTCTGGGAATAAAGTAATTAAATGTAATTAGACATGTAAACTAATTTCAGGAGTCAAAACAGACATCATGTAATTGTTAAATACAAAAGTCTTAAATATTATATCCCACTCTGGACTTTCATCTTAAGGAGTTCAGTTGGATAATAAAGAAGTTATGTCATCTTTTTGTCCAAGTGGCTTTGGCCAGAGGGGAGTGGCTTGACTTCATGCTTGAGTTTATTTAGGGTCGGGTGAGCAAGCCATTTTTAATCCTCACTGAAGGAAGTATTTTCTTCCCGTGTTAAAAAGAAGGAACTGCATTGCATGAAGAGACGACAATTGGAGATGGGATATGGTGGCTCACGCCACTAATCCTAGGTCAGGACTTCCATGGTTTTAGGATAGCCTGTGTAAAAAGTTAGTGAAACTCCATGTCACCAATAAGCTAGATTGGTAGCACACGCCAGAGATTCCAGCTATGCAGGGGGCTATAGGCTGGATTGTGTTCTAAGGTAGGTCCTAGGCAAAAATGTAAGCTCTTCCCTAAATAACTCAATACAAGCCAAGGAAGGCTTGAGTGGGGTTTGTCTGCTCAGCTTGGGCTATGTTGCCTCCTGTGCATTCATTCTGGACAAATCATAATGAAGTCCTGTGTGCTGTCATCATTTTTTTTTATCTAGCTATGGAATTACACACCATGAGTTTCTAGCTTCATCCTTTGAGTACTATTAAGACACTACATAGCTGGGGAGGCCTGCAGGAGCCCCCAGATGCTTCCTCTGCTCCCTTTGTCTAGGCCTGATGTAAGTCACAGAGGGCTGTGTGGATTTCACACCGGGCAGTCCATCAGTCGTACTCCTCAGAGCCCTGTATATTTTCGAAGTGTTGTTAGAAACTCTGTATCTGCTGGTTATTTCCACAAACTATACAAAAACTGTGTGTG